TTGTAATGCAATCATTAGCCAAATATATTATTAATAAAATCCTGGATTACAGATACTCATTTTAATATTTTAACTTAAAATATTTAAGGTCTTTTCCTCAATGATTACTTGTACCGAATTTCACACCAACAAAAACGGAAAACTTATTAGAGAAAACAGAAAAGGCTACTATATAAATAACAGTTTTTATAAAGGTCAAAGTAGTTCTTCTACACTGGACTCCTTTATATATTTAGCAAGCAAACTAAAAGCATGTATATACAAGATAACTGGTAGGAGGTGCCTTTGTATAACAAATTTTAGTAAAAGTTTCAGCTTCTGTTAATGAAGTTAAAATAGTAGGCCTTATAGGAGAACAATAAGCAAGTTTTCAACACATTCACTAGAAATTTAAGGATATCTGCTAACTGAACACTACTACCATATTCCTTGCTTGGTTTTTTGACAGAAGTTTTTACAAGAAATAGGAATTTAGTGTACCCCCTATGAAAGATCTACAAAAATCATTCATTTTGGAAATAGGAGAATCATCTCTTTTCTGGAACTAGGAGTAACTCTAATCGGAGTAAAAGAGTCAGCTGTAAAATTGGTAGGAAAAAAATTAAACACTGACATCTCTATTATCGAATGATATTTACATATAATATAGACCTATTTCTAGAATAGAGACTAGGAATAGTACTACTATATAATTTTTACAATTTGCTCTGACTAGAGCTTTGGCCATCTTTTTGTTTTTTCTTTTTCTTACTATTACATGTTTGTTTTGTTGTTTTGTTTTGATTTGGGATTTGTTTGTTTACTTTTGGTTTTTTTAGTCATGTTCTTATTTGTATTCAATTTTATAATACCCCTTTTTTTTTAGCCTTTTAAGAAAAAGGAAGAATTTAAAAAAAGGATTGAAGACAGTTAATGCTTGTCCTGAAGAGAGAAATCCTTTCTGGTATAGCTTTAAGTAGTCAGATAAGCAGTCTACCTCTAACTGAGGTAGTGCAGCAGGTTGCACTTAGGTACCAATAAGGTGGCTGGGTGATGCTAGACTTAGTTATTAGAAAAATTCTATATAGTTATTGTATATAGTTGCAAGAATCTTAATAAAGTACTAGCATAGCTGCTTAAGAACAAAAAAAAAAAAAATTTTAATATTTAAAAAAAAATTTAAAATAAAAGAACACAAACTAGTACTAAACAGTATAAACTTATAATATGTTCTTATAATTATATAAATTGCAGAAATAAGAAAAACAAAAACTTACTTAAAAAATCTGAATAAAGAGATAACTCAAACTTTTAGTTGTATTATTATAAAAACTAGACTTAAAAAACAGAACTAAAATTTGTAAAACTAGATAATATAGAAAAAGAACTATTATAATCAATTAGACTACTAAAACTTTTTAAAATAAAAGATTATATATTGAAAAACATATAAATTAAAGATATGATTATATCTCACTTTTTAGTTATTTGAACTAAAAACTTGGTAGAACTTAAATTGAATACTAATACAATAGTAATATATTGTAAAATAAATATCAAAATTAGAGTAAACTCTACAAGATCATAGCAGTTTAATACTAAACTCTAACTGCAAGTGTTAGTTTCAACTATAATATTACTAAGTTAACTATAAAAATATAATACAAAAGATTTTAAAAAGTTTAGTACAAGGTCAAAAATTTTTTATGCAAATAAACTACTTTAAAAACTTAATGATTATAATATTTTACTAATATTAATCAGAATTATTAATAGAATAAGTATACAGATAGAAGAATATAATAATTTAGTAAAGTAAATAGTTGTTAACCTTTAAGTAACAGGTCTAAGGTTTAATTCTTACAGATAATTAATTTTAAAAATTATATTTATATTATAGTAACTGTCTTTTTTTGATTAGTTAGATTTAAATATTTGTAATCTTAAGTATACTAAGTCAGGTTTTATCTAATATTAGAAACTTGAGATATAATATTACACATATATAAAAAAGAAAAATACTACAATTAACTCATAGTGATCATTACTATCGTTATTTTTAGGATTAAAGTGCAGTTTGAGACAAAAGCAAAGATTAGATATAATAGTCTAAATTTTAAGTTATACCAAGTTTTTAGAGGTTCTAAACATTTTTACTTAGTCTATTTGACTCCTGTTTCTTAGTGTATTTTTTGAGATATAGCCTCTAGATAATGATTATCATAAGTTATAATTAGTAATATTCTATAAAAAAATATAAAAAACTAATATTGTATAAAGCTTTAGTACAAATCTGTAATAAAACTACTAAGCATAGAAGACTAAAAAACTAATAAAACAGAAACCTACTTAGAAATTTTAAATAAAAAAATAGTACAAGCTTTTGATAATGCTATTGAACTAATAAAAATCTATGAAACCTCTTCAAAGGAATTAGCAGATAAATCAGATAACAGATATATAAAAAAAGCATATGCATTAACCAGATCATTAAAATTGTTAAAGAAAAAAATACATAAGTATACTGCACCAAGCTATCTAAATTGGTAGTCTGAAGAATTCTATTAGTTCTAAATAGCAATTAGTAAAAGAAAATAAAGATGATATCAGAAAGATGAATACCAGAGTTTGAGTAAACTTTACAAGAATAAAAACAGTTTAATAAATAACCCTGGTTATATGTGTTGGTTCTAATTATAGTAAAAACTAAGCTAACAGTAAAAAGAGAATATAACTTATTTTGATAAATTTATCTTAAGAATAAAAATAATTCTAAGAATTATAATCCTAAAATTAAGATAAGGATCTGAATACAAATGCCTAGTAAAGTTGATATAAAGGTTTTGAATCAGAGGGTTTAAATAGAACACTTAAGCAAAAATATTAGATATGACAACTAGTAGAGAATTTCTAAATAGACTTCTTAAATAGGTAATATAAAAAAATTACATGTGTAACCAGTTATATGCTTGTTATTATGTTCAATAAAAATATTAATAAAGTTAAATGACTAAAAAGATCACCTTAACACTAAAAATAAATAAATAAATAAATATAGACAGATGAATACAGAAACTAGAGTGTTTAAATAAGAAACTTACAAGCAGGTATCAGATATGACAGCTAGTATAGAACCTTTAGGCAAACTACTTAAATTAGACAATGATTAAAATTATATAAGTAATTAGTTGTACACTCTTTTTATAACTGCTCTTTATAGTTGTAATGCAACCATTAGCTAAATATACTATCTATAAAATCCTGGGTCACAAGTACTCACCTTAATATTTAAAAAAAAAGTAATAAAAACAAGAAATACAAAAAAATAAGATATAGTTAAATATAGTTAGATTTAAGAAGTAAAGAAAAATTAAACAATATGTATATGAAACATACAAAATTCCTAACAAATATAAATAAAGAAAGTAAATATATATTCTACTCTATATGTTCAAATATAAACATGCCAGTTTAATAATATATCTTAATTACAAGTAATAGCCTTGGTAACTGCATACAAGGTAGTGCAAGTAAATAATGCTTGAGCAATTCAAGTAAATTAAATATTAAAGTTTGACAAGTTAATATTGATTCTGTAATATATACAAATATACAATGTAATATATAAAAATAAACCTAATAAACATCCTGACATGTTATCAAAATTTTTCTATAAGATGTCTCAATAAAAATATTTTATATCGTAAAAAATTTTTTTATGTTTTAATCCTAATCCTAAATCTTAAACCCTATATTAAAATTTTATATACAAGACTTATAAAAACTTAGAAAAATCTAAAAACATAATAAAAAACAGATGATAGGTGTAAAACCACCATGGGTGCATTTTATAATAAATATTAAAGATTTATATTAAAAGATATATTTATGTAAATATATTATAAAATCCCAAATAATGGCATAACGGGCATGTGTCTTATTTCAAAAATCAGGTCCTTTAAGTATGATTCTTCACGGACGTCCGTAATTTATACAATCTATTAGTGAACTTGAATATAATAAATAGACTCAGGAAATTTAGTTTTCATCCCGAAATAACGAACATGATGTACTCGAAATGACACGCAAGTGGTCAAAATAACAGACGCCGTTATTTCGAGTTTTTACGGTAAAATAAAATAAAATCCTAGAATGTCCAGAATTCTACGGTGCATAAATCATAAACGTGACTTTGATCACTTTTAAAATCAAATACAATATAAAAAAAAATATTTTTGGCGTGAGCAGATTTATGTACCGCGGAACTCTGAACACTAATAAAATTAAAGTCTTGAAATAACAGATATCAAATAACAGACATTTGGCGTTATTTTTTTTTTAATCACCTGAGGCTTTTAGAGTACGCCCATATTAGACCCATGCGACTTCAGGGACTTTTCATTGTTTTTAAACATATGTAAAATCCCTGAAATTGCATAAACACACTAGCCCATATGCGTAATTTTGAGCCTGATTATTACAATATAAAGTCGCAGATATTGTGGGAAGCGCATTATTCCGAGATTCCCATTAAAGTTATTTTAAAATTAAGTATTTTACATACTACTGTGTAAAAAGTAAAATGTCAAATGCCGTGGTCTATTAAAAAAAGTTTTAATAAATTATTAAATGTGATAGTCAAGTATCACCTATCTTTAATCCCCCACTGGTATCATACCACTTTAAAATATACTGTTTTGGAACAACGTTGTTAGAAACTCCGCCTTACAGTCAAATTTTCGTGATGGATCTGTGATCGAGTTATCAAAAACATCACATTTAATTTTAGACTACAGTAAAGATTATAAAAATATTTTGTTACTAGATTAAACAAACATATTATTAACTAGAAATATTAAAAAAAGGTAAAAAAAAAAAAAGACAATTTTCAAAAATGTTTTTTTTTTTATAAAATAATAAATAAGGGCTACATTATTTAAGCTAAGAAATTTACACATGAATTTATTGCACAAAGCAAGTAACTTTATAAGCATAAAATAATGAACAAGAACATACATATATTACCAAATAAGAAGTTCTAATCTGGCCAAATTCTTCCCACTTGCTTCACTTTTTGCCATTTCCCAACAGTCATCACCTTTTAATACAACAACATCACCATGTTTATTCCTAAATCTGAGATTAAAATTATCCATTGCTAGATTAAATCTTGATTCAAGAACCTCTAATAACTTGTGATAAGAAGAATCCATTGGAACAGCGATAGCACGACGTTCGGTAGGGAATACACAAGTTATATACAACTTTATATAATTCAAATAGGTGTGAGAAAGAATTTAAAAATTTAATCGAATAAAAGTAAAATATAAAATAAATACTTTTTGCCTGTTATCTTTAGCGAGTTCATTACGAACACCATGTTTATTAAACCATAATCTTTCAATTTCCGTTTCAATTTTGGCCAATTTTGAAGAATCTTCAGAAATATCAGGGATCAAGGTAAGAGAACTTAAACAATTAAATTTTCCACCTGATGGATCTGTTTGCAAAATTGTAGGATCTAAAAGATACGGGTATCCACCAAGATGGCGGCGGTACTAAATAAATAGGAAGAGTTTAATTAATATAATAATAGTAATAAAAATAGTAGTAAATAATAATAATAGTGTAATAATCTTATTATGATTAATATAATTATTAATAATATTATTAACGTTAATAACATACGGTTCTTTTAAAACTTTGTTTAAATTTTATAATAAGTTTGTTTTCAGAAGTAATTTTAAATCCACATAATTGATTAAATGGGATAGAAATTTCATCAGACATTCCATTAATACAGCAAGAAATTTCACCACCACCATTTAGATTCAAATCATCACCAACTTTATAGAGAAATGCCATATCACCTCGATAATTGGCATTTATGATAGTTGGATAAGCATCGTTTGTATGACTAAAATGACATTGAGAAATATCAACTTTTGATAATATCAGCGGTTGTACAGAAGTTGTATTAGTTGAAGAAGGTGAGGAAGATAGAGTTGCAGAAGAAGGTGACTTGGAAATAGATAAAGATGTAAGATATTCAAGAGAAGTCGAAGATATCGTAGAAATAGTTGGTAAATTTTTCAATTGGGTAGAAGGGGTATACACCGAATCAAAATTATGACGGATATCATTTTGAGGGGAAACAGAATCATCGATAATCACACTCTTAATCATATAGCCGATGTTATCGTCACTATTGTCGGCAATAAAATTATTGACATTCTTATTGTTAGTCTTATTATTGTCATTCTCATTGTCAATTTTGTTGTCAAGAATCATTTTATCATCATTTTGATTCGTCGTTAAGTCATCATCATCATTTAAAGAAATCAAAATATCATTATCCTTATCCTTATTCAGTTGATTTAGCTGTTGCAAGGCAGAAGAATCACACCACAACGATATTGGTTCACTCATTAAATCTGATAATGAAGATAAGTTGATATTGACATTGTTATGAGAGAAATTCTTTGTTTCATCTGCATTATAAACAGGTTGTATAATGGGAGACGTAGGTGGGGTTGCTTTTTTTTTAAAAAAAAAAAAATTTCACACAAATAAACGTATTTTTAAAAAGTTGATAGATAAAAGATTTTGATTAAAGTCAGTAAAACAAAGATCTGAAAAGCCATTTAAAAAAAAAAAATTTATACCGTAATAAGAAGTAACACTATTATTATCGTTGTCCCAATCTTCATAATTTTGATCCATTTTTTATTAAAAAAAGAAATTGAAAAAAAGCGAAACAATTTTATACGTGTAAAAATTTGTAATGACGTGTATCGAAATACAGTATATATTTAAAATATGTAGATTAAACAAGATTAAACCAGGTTTTGGATCGTCTACGTAACGGTAAGATCGATATAAAGATAACGATAACAATAAACGATCATAGAAATATATATATATATAAAGTAGAATAAGATAATATACAAAATTGGTTAAAAATGATATTAAAACCGAGGAACAAGTTTATAGATCATCGTAATGCCTGAATATACTCATTTCTCATTTAATAAATGAGTTAAATGAATGCAATTAACGAGACTATGGAACTTTACATTGATGACTTCTCATACAGAACCACGTGATTACATGAGATCGAACCGTAAGTGTCAGATGTGTCAGAATATTTCGCGTATCAAGTTACCAAGCGCGAAAGTATTCAGGCGTACATGCGTGTGTACGTCGTTTTACTGTAGTTCCTATTGGTCGCAGATATGATCAGGTGATTACGTCACATAGTACGACCAATAGGAAACGCAGAAAGTGAATTAGGGGTCCGTTAAAAGCCAGGTACATGATCTACATACTGCATAAATTGTATTCTTGATATCTATATAACCCACTAACCCTAACTGCATCAAAAAAGTAATCCTAACTGGTACCTGGCTTTAACGTTCCCCAAAATTAGTAAATCCTAGATGACAGGAATGACAGGACTATCGAAAGTACATGAATACATGAAATACATAATGAACAGACTTAAACATTAAATCGCATAAATGGCGAAGGTAATTAAATCCTTATCGTTATAATAAATTGCAGAATTAATAATTTGTCATAAGTAGAAATGATAAAATGAAGAAAAAAAGATAACATGCGAATGATTGAATGATGAAAGTAATTTCAGTCAAAAAGTTATAACTTTTTGGTTAAATATAGATGTTTATTTTTGGTATTCTTTTATACTCAAAATTTCAAACGCAATTTTAAATTATTAGATAAGAAAAGCAAGAGTATGGATTATGAAATTATGATTGGACACAATGAAATTCACAAGTTTAAAGCGTCATACGTCAATAAATTCTTACTCAATTTAGCCAAGAATCAAATGTTTCCAATTTAAATTCCTTTCTTATTACGTGAGAGTGCGTACAAAGTTATAATATGTTAAAATGGCGAGGTTCGCATATTAACCTACTTTGTTCTCACCCCTTTCTCGGCATGATCCATATCAGATCTACTCATTATTCGTTCTGCAATCACAGTAGATTTTTGCCTTCATTTTAATTATACAATTCTAGTACAATTAAAGATCCTATTCAACGAATTGTGATTCTCACGCACGATTCTAATTGAGATAATTGGGATCAAATTAGATAACAAACTAGACAACAAATTAAACCAGCAAATTAGATTACAATTAGTTTACAATTAGATTACAATTAGATCACAGTACTTGGATAAGAACTCCATTGTTAGATTGTTTCATTTGTAAAACTGGTGCACAACACACAAAAGAACCAACCAATTGATCACTTAAAATAAGCATGAAACATTTTATTAAAAAATTCGGCTCTTGTATATTCGCTCATTCGTTACTATTTAAACCAATCAATAAGATTTCTATTGAATCGGAATTTTTGTAGAATGCTTCGAGAATTCAATTTAAATAGAGATTAGATCTCTGTGTTCCCTCACATTATTTTTACTCCTCCCACTTCTCCTTTAGCTTTTCTCCTTTATTCAGTGATCTTCCCTTATATTCTTATTCGTGTTTATCTTCTCTTGTGCTACTTCTTTCTTGTTGCGTTTCAACCTTCATTCTTGGCATTATTACTATTGCTTTTTGTTTGTCTCATCCTCACGAGAAAAAAAAAAAATTCTTTTATATAATAATCCGCGAAATATTTTTCCCGCCGTGTTTTAGGTTAGTTTCGTTTTACCTCTGGTAAAATTTTTCAAGAAATAAATGTGACAAACCCCTTGCCCGTGTTTATCCTTCATATATATCCCCTTTATTGTTGTTTTCGTGTTGTGAAGGATTTCCTCCTTTATTTTTCCGTGACGATTACCATCTTTACTTTTGTTGTATCACTTATATCTCTTCGTCGCGTTTTTTTTTTATATTCTTACTAGCCAAGGTAAGGAAACAAGATGTCCTCGTGATTTCTTTTTTCCTAAAATTCTATCAATATTTTTAACCATATTTTACTTATTCATTCTAGTTATATTCTATCTATATCCTAGCTACATTCCATCTTTATATTTTAGCTATATCCTAGCTATATTTGGTGAATTTAACAATGGGTAAGAATTCCGATAGTTTTACAATTATTGTCTTTAACCCGTTTAATATGATTTTACGATTATTATCTTCAATTCGTTTATCTCGTTATCGTTATATAATTATTCATCTAATATTTACCAGAACCTAAACCACGGCTAATTGCTCCTACTCCAAATCAAGTGAGCTCATCATCAACCCCAATCGATCCATCTCGGTTTAATCGAACTTATCAATTTTTTCCTCCGTTACAATCACGAGACACATCTCAACCAATCATTAATAATTGGATGATGCCAATCTTCTCTTTACATGCCCCAACTCCTCAACACATTCATCCTTCTGCTTCACTAAACAATCAAAATCATATGTATATGGTACCAATTTCTAATAGTAATAATCATGTAACTTTTTCTCCTTCCTCTTCCACCTCCTCTCATTTTTCTGATGCCATCACACCCCGTATTTCCCCTTATCCTGGAAATTCCCCTAATCCCTCTTCTAATCTTAACTCACCTCCGTCGTCATCTACCGTCTCACGTAATAGACATAAATGTGATTGGCCTGGTTGTACTTGGAGTTTTAAACGTTTAGAACATTTAAAACGTCATATGATTACTCATACTGGTGAACGTAAATATACCTGTCATTATCCTGGTTGTGGTAAAAAATTTGGAAGATCTGATAATTTTGCCGCACACTACAAAACCCATACTAAATCTAATCCGAGAAGATCAAGAAAATCTACCAATGTCTTGAATAATTCTACTGATATTTCTGCTTTGGATATTGCCCTCCCTCAAGATAATCCTACTTTAACTAATGGTATTTCCGGAATTATGACTATACAATTACCACCCCCTCCCCCTCCTCCTGCTGTACCTTCATCTTCCTTAACTCAAGATCAGATTGATGCTTTCCATTATTATTGTGATACTACTTCCGCTTCTAACACAAATTCTCGTTCTTCAATTTCCGACAATTCTTCTACTTCTGCTGATCATACTTTGCGATACAGAGAATGTTACTAGCTATATTCTTTAGTATCTTATCTCACTGTATTTAACATATATACGGTATCACGGCATCTACTTGTCTCTTCTTTCTTTCTTTCTTTTCTTTCTTTCTTCTTTTTTTTTAACTTCATTTAGACTTTTTTTCAGTTTTTATAGAATTTTAATTATGAGGGACTTTCAAAAAAAAAAAAAAAAACTTTCTGTTAGATACAATTCTTTAGTAAACATTTACCGTAACATTGTTTGTATTTTTTCAAATAAAAAAAAAAGTTTATAAAGGTGCATTTTCAATGTATATGTAATTCTTTTTAACATATTGTTAAGATAAACATATAGTTAAGATAGACATATCGATATATCGATGAGTATATTTTTGGCGAAATCAAAAACAGAAGTGCGTGAAATTCTTTCACATATTGAAAATTTGATCGATTGCAAACGAATTATGTTTTCCAAGCTAGGACAGTAGCATTGCGTTGAAATCGTATATCATACTATGTAACGTATTCCGCAACTAGTGGTGTCAAACATATTATTTTTTCCTAATGTAAAAAGTTAAAACTATATCGTCGAAAGTCAAAAATATTTTTGTCAAAGTGAAATCCCCAACGAAACCTGTCATTAATCAAAATTTCTAACTCTGCAGAGAAGTTTCAGATCACAATATATCACATAGCCATCAAGATTATCATCAAGTCTATCATTTGACATTGTATTTCCCGATTATAAACTAAATGAGAGACAATATAAACGATACATAAATATAAAACTATAAGTATATACGTAATATATATTCTCTAAATAAGATTTTTTATTAAATGTTTCAATTTGACTTGTGTTTGGTTATACTGACTAAATTAATATAGATAAACAGAATTGGAAATAAGCATTAACAACCTTGAATCGTTATATTAAATACATTAATTAATGATTTTTATGCTTACTGTCAAAATTGAGGAGTATTATGTAGTAGTAAAAAACTTCATTTATAACAAATTCAAATAAATAAATATATATAAAGAAGCATTAGTTTCAGTATAATAAGTGGAAACGGACTTGAATGGATTTTAATAAAATTATAATTTTAGAGCAGACTTTATTCCATTTACAACATACATATAAATATATATATAGCATAGAATTTTTTGATTTGTAAAAAAATTTTTTTAGATAATTTAAAGTAAAAAAATAATTAGTTAATTAATGATTGAAATACAAAATAATTAAATTTAAGACACTCACTTTAAAGTTGGTGCCATCATATTGGCTGTATTTTTGGTCCTTGTCACAAACTATAACAAACGTTTCTAATACAAGCTTTATAAGCAATAATGTCTTGAATAATTGTAAAATTTACATAATGGAACTGTGATTCCATTAGCAGACCGAACCGACCATTAAGATACAACTTACCCATTTGGGCATAAAAAAGCAACATGTGCCTTTTTCAAACCCTTGACATAATGTATCCATATTTTTTAACAATAGGAATAAGATGGTTCAACTTTAACATCAACAATTGCAAGTTTATATTGTGATGTGATAGAAGATTTTGGTAAGTAGTCTACAATTATTACTATAAGCCATTATTAACATGTTTTTGATTTCTTTTTAATATAATACAGTTCAACCTTAATATAATCACTAAATTACCTATATTAAGGTTAGTTTTATAATTATTGGTAATTTCTAACATAATAATTACTTATTCAAAATTAATTTCTAGTGAATATATAAATTTTATAACAACAGTACAATTACAATTATTGTTTTATTTTTTAACTTAAGAGTAGAGTACAAATTATATTGCAAAATTTTTTTATATTTAATTTTTTAAAACAAAATATTAAGTAACTAATTTTTAATCCTTAAGTAAAAGTTGTATAGTAGGTCTTCCTAATTTTAATAATAGCAAAATTATTAAAATTGATTAAAAACCCATTAAAATATAAATTTTTAAACATTAGAATATAAAAACTATATAATAAAATTAACTTATAGATTTATATAAATTAACTTAGAACATATATGCAAAGTGTAACATTACACATACATAGAGGAATGCTAACCAGTGTTGTATAAGACTTCAGTGCAAACCCATAATAAGACCACCGAGCATAGAAGACTAAGAAACTGATGAAAATCCACTTAGAAATTCCTGAGTAAAAAAGTAGCATGAACTTTCAACAATACTATTGGACCAGTTAAAATCTACAAAACACCTTCATAGAAACTGAAAATTAAAACTAAATAACAAATATGTGTAAAAAAGCATATAACCAATCAGGCTGCCAGATTCGCTAGAGAAAAAGGATACAAAAGTATATCATACCAGGCCATCTGGATTGGTAGTCTAGAATGAGACTGATGGTTCCAAGTTACAACTAGTAGAGTATGATGAAGAAGATGCCAGAAAGATAGGTATTGGAGTTTTAATAAACTTTACAAAGGTAGAAATAGTGTAATGTAGTGGTTAAACAGGTAACTCCTGTGACTGCAAGTGTTAGGTAACTATAGTGTATTGCATAAAACTAAGTTTATATATGTAGGACATAAAGGCTCTAGTAAGTTTCTTGTTAAGAATAAAGTAGTTCTAAGGATAATGATAAGCATCAGGAACTTGGATGGATTTAGCCTTAAGATGTTCTCATGATATAAAAAGGGCTGCATATGCAGAGAGTTTAAATAAGTAAAACCTCAAGTTAGCTTACAGTTATAGCAACTAGTATAGAACTTATATAGTAATGTGTATGTGAACTACTTAAATTAGGCATCAAAAGTGCACATATAGTTAGTTGTAATCTCCAATGTATTAGTAGCCTCTGAAGGCATGTCATGTCCTATAATACTTAAATAAAAATATCATATCTCTCAAGACAGGAACTTTAACTATAAAAAAAAATAAAAAAATAAATTAATTAGAAGAAGATAGTGATCCTAGTATAGTAGTTGGGTTGTTATTCTTCAAGTAGCAGGTCTAAGGTTCAAATTCTATCTATGATGAAATTTGGAAATTAATCTGTGTTATAACAAACTGTTTCTTGATGATTAGTTAGATTAGTATATCTATAATCTTAAATTATATCATCTTAAATAGAAGCTCAGGGCATCTATGTGAAGTATAATATTACATGTACATAAAAGAATATTAATAACTAAAGTTATATAAGACCTTGAGACAAACTTATGATAAGACCATCAAATGCAATAAATTAAGAAACTAAAAAGTCAGAAGCCTACTTGAAAATTTTGAATAAGGTGATAGCATAAACTTTTGACAATATGATCAGATTAATGAAAGCCTATGAAACATTTCCAAAGGAATAGGCAGATAAACTAGATAACAAGATGTGTAAAGGCACATATAACCAACCAGATTGTTAAAATTATTAAAGAAAAAAATATATATATATTATATCAGATTTTCTAGATTGGAAGTTAGAGAAGTTCTGTTAGTTCTAAATAATAGTTAATAAAAAATAATGAAAAAAACATTGTGATGATAGGTACTAAAGTTCCAGTGAACTTTATAAAAATATAAATAATATAATGTAGTAGTTAAACAAATAATTTCTATAATTGCAAGTGTTAGATAATTATAATATATTGCATAAAACTAGGTCAGTTGTATATGAAATATAGAAGATTCTAGCAAGTTTTTTGTTAAGAATAAATTAGTTCTAAGAGTCTTGAAAATATTAAGTACTTTGAATAGGTGTAGCCTAGAAGATGTTCCCATAATTATAAGTTAGACTACATATGTAAAGAGTTCAAATAGGCAAGACCTGTAGTTGGCTTGCAAATATGGCACCTAGTATAAAACCTGTATAGTAATATATAGGCAGACTACTTAAAATAGATACCAAAAGTGCATGTGTGGTTAGTTGTAATCTTCTATTTATGGAAGTCTCTAGAGGCATCTATGTCAAATACTTGAATAAAAACATTAGTCTTCAAAGGCAAAAACTTTAATTTAAAAAAAAAATAAAAAATAAATTAATTCAGAAATGTTATATCAAACCAGTAGTACTAAACACCACTTATTTATATGAATAATTATTATATAATTATAGTATAAATAACTATACAATTATATTTTATATTACAGCAATCTTATTATTATAATAAATATATAAATATAATGCAATCAGATCAGATTTCATAAATATTAAATTTTGAGTTAGTCAACTATTTTTTTGCATTTTTTTTTATTTCTACCTAAGATTTAATAACTTATAATATATAACATACCTAGTTTTAATAATACAGAACTTTCTTTATTCTTTTTATTTTATTTATTAATTAATATAAAGAATATTTGTGATACTACTACTGATATCTATAAATCAAAAGTGGTTTTAGTTATTCAGATATATATGAACTTAATAAATAACTAATGTTAAAAAGTCACAATATCATAAAAATTTAATAAATATTATTAATAAGTTGTTTTTTGTAAATATCTTGAAAGATATATTTGATTAGTTAGTAAATTATAATATAAAATCATAAACAATTGATATAGAAGAATTCTTTTGTTTAAATGAACTGCCAAAAGTTAAAGAAAATAGTAATGATAAAAATATTAAAAATTTAGAGCTGCTATATTCAATTGCATCTGAAATAGATTTTAATAACTAGAAAAAAATTAATAAGTAACTATGAACTATAAAATTAAAGAATAATCATAAGTTATATAACTATTGACAGTTTTTTTTTGTTAAAATAGCTTGACAATTATGATTTAAAATACAATTTCATATTTATAACTATATACAGTGATCTAAATAAGGAAAATAAGTTTCTCTAATAATGTGTTTATATGTGTTTAAAAGATGAATATATATTTTATGAAAAGAAGCTTAGTGTTCCTAAATAAGCTGACTCAAATAGGCTTATTTTTTATATTTCTAAGCTTGTCACAGGTTTGGTATAGCTTATAAGCCTATATAATAATAAAAATTTAACTTAAATTTAATCTTAAATATAAAATTAAAAATTAAAATAAAAATAAA